TGTCCGGAATTCTGACATGATCTGAATCAGACCTCGCGTCATTTATACAGGTGACATTAGTGTTCTTAAAGGGAATGTTTCACATTTTAAGATACTGAAGGAAGCATCAAATGTCATGCAATCAGCTCACTGATAACTATTGGCTTGCTTTTTTAGGTAGACAAGACTGGTCTAGACAACACAGATTATCTGTTTAGTAAATATGCTTCTCAGTACGGCATTGCTTGGTTACGTCATCGTACCTTGCACAACATTGGCTGGGAGCCAATTGACGGCCGCTTTATCTAGAAACCGTGCTGACGAGCGCCAGATATGGACGACTCGATATGCATATTTTCCTCGGCATTGATGGCCGCAGAGCCAACGGAATGGCTGGATTTTAATGACGTTATTTTGGTGTCGGGGATGCTTAGGTGACTTGAAATAATCTCTCCGAAAAAGCCTACACATCTTCGCGGGCGTGTAGGTCTTAACAAGGGCATGGCTGTGAACTGCACTGAATAATCTTCGATATGATTATTTCCGTTCAAAACCCCATACAAATGTGGAACACTGATTTTAACTCAAGTGTAAATATTATAATTATAGTCAATATAGCTTTCATACCATAACGTTGTATATGTTGTGATCATCGCAACCTTACGTGTAATATGTTGGCCATTAGTAGTGTTATTGCAGCATTTTCATGGCATTCTGCACGAGCGTATTTTATGCACCGTGCCAGTGGCAATGATTTAGTGCTCGGTATAGCAGGGATCCGACAAGCACGCGCAGACATCGGAACGGCTAATGCAGCCCGTTTAGGGTGCACGTTCGCGCCCATGAACCGAAACCGCACGGCTGCCTTGGCGCTGATCACCACCCACGCCGTGCCCGTCTTGACAGGTGAAGGACGAAGCTATGGTTGAGGACCTGAACATGATCCTGAACCTTGGCGACGTGCCCAATCTGTATCCAGCGGACGAGAAGGCGGAAATCCTCGAGAAGATGCAAACGATCGCCAAGGACATGGTGAGTAGGACGGAACCCGAGACGTCAGCGACCTTCGGCGCCGCACTGCAGGTGGCGATGTAGTGAGTTAGGCCCGCATCTAGAGACGCTCAAGCCCGTCTGATACGGGGACTGAAGTCTTCCGTCGCCCTTGCGTCGAAGCGCAAGCGAGAGCAGTCTTTGTTTACGCCACCACGTATCGCATGCATCCCGCCCCACGGGCCTCTGAACCCCCGGATGCCTGCCATATCACGGTGGGTGTGCAGGTAGCCTCGTCCCAGGGCCGCGGACGTGCTGAGCGATGGTATCGGTCAGTGGCAGTACCCTCCGCTGACGTGGACGGGGCTGGCCGGCCGGCTGGTGGAGCCCGCGTGGAAAGTTCGCTGCCGCGACCCGGCCCGGCCGGCGTGGCGTCGACCGACGCGGAGCTCGAGATGGGGCAGGGGTCTGCGCTGGGAGCCGGCAGTGGTCTGCGCTGGACATGTGGCGCTCGTAGCGACCGTTTGGAGACAACGCGTTGCGAAATGTAGCGTCACCATGTAGCGTCATCTGTCTCCGCCGTTTGCGCGTATAATGCAGTCGTACCGGGCGCAAGAAAACCGGGCTGAATGCCTATAGGTACATTAGATAAAACACAGTTCGATAAATCAATTATGTCATACAAAACCGGAAATTACGTTAAAGATGGCGATTAAGAATCGCTTGGTGCAGGCTCCTCGTGGGCTTTTGCGGCGGAGTGGGACGGGTTTTCGGGCATGCTCCGCCGGATAAGCCTCAATCTCGCTCCACCCAGTACACTTTGGGACCAGTTCGGTCGACTTGCCACCGAACCGGTATGGGCTGATACTGTCGCAGACGTGGGCAAGCATCTGGCGCTGGGAGCTGGGACCCTCAGCACGAGCCCTGTGTCCTGCCTCGTTCGCGCGCGGCCGTCGGGAGGGAGGGGAGGCCCCGTCAGGCCCGCGCCCCGCCCGGATCGACGGCGGCCGGCGCCGTGCGGCTGGTGATAGGGAGGAGCCGCCGCTGCAGCCCGGCGCAGGCGCGCGGCGTCGCAAGGCGAGCACGCAGGTCAGGCACGGCTCCTTCAGCGGGCGTCCGCCGGGGGATGCGGTGACGGTGCCGAGGTGGCGCCGTGTCCGCCTGCTCTGGCTGCGGGGACGGCGCGCTAGATTCCTTCTTACTGCCTTCTTGTTTCCCCTCTTCCTTATTTCGTTTCTCTTCCTACCTCGCTCCGATTTTATCGTCCGCCGCCCATCCCTTCATCCTTTTCTTTCTTTTTCGCTTGTTCTCCGGCCCGCTTACATTTTCACTTCTCTATGTTTCGTTTTTTTTCCTCTTTACCATTCTATACTTGCGTGTATTTCACCCATTATTTTTCCTATGTCCTCGTTTCCAGTTCTGCCCCTCTGGACCCTCACCCGATATCTCTCCCTGACCCGTTTGTCCGCGGTCTTTCCGCTCCTTCGCTCTCCCCGCTCCTCCAATCTGCCTGCCCTCTTGGCAGCGGTTGCTCGTGCCAGCCGTTGCGGTCCCATAAGCCAGCAGTGACGCACGAGACGCCGTCAGCACTGGGGCTGGCCCGAGGTGGCCAGATGCGTCACGCCGCCGCCCAGCAGCCCTCGGGAAAGCTTGACCTCATTACATGAGGCAATGCCGGATACTTGATTGGCTGCGGTACGGGTGTTGCTACGAACAAAATGTTTACAGAAAGAAGTCTGTGGGAATGGACAAGCCTACGTTTAAATGGTCAGCGAGAACCTGCCAAGATCGGTCAAGCCAATCAAACGTTTCTCGTTCACTAGCTACCAGTTATTTGAGAGGAGGAGCGGTGTATGCCGCAGCGCCACAGCCATGGTGAACATGTCAATACTTAATTGATTTGCATACTCATATAGGGGCCAAGCGTTTTTGACGCCAGCATAGAAAGTCATCTTACAAGCCCTAGCTGAATACCTGCACTTCCGACTTGTTCATCTTTCAGCTTCATTCTCATAAAAGAATTATATGCTCCAATCCACTTTCACCCATCTCCCACGAGGCCCTCGCGACTCGCACGGTGTGCACCACGCACAAACCTCGCACGGTGTGCACCACACACAAACCTCGCACGGTGTGCACCACACACAAACCTCACACAGTTTACACCACACACATATTTCACACGGTGTAAACTGCACACAGCCCTCACACGTTGTGCAACACACAAACCTCACACGGTGTACACTGCACACAGCCCTCACACGGCGTAGACTGCACACAGCCCTCACACGATGTGCACCACACACAACCCTCACACGGTGTGCACCATACAAACCTCGCGCGGTGCGCACCACTCAACCCCCACACGGTGTGCAACACATACAAAGCTCACACGGTGTGCGCCAGACACAAAACTCCCACGGTGGCTTTGCACTGTGTCAGCTGGCCTTCACGTCCCACCGAGCGCCGCTTTCTGAGCACGGCTCTGGCCGCGTCGGCAGGGCCGCAAGGTGGACTCGGCTCCGCTGGCGCTCTACAACTTCTTCATCGAGCTGGTGCGCGCCAATCTGCACGTGGTGGTGGCCATGTCGCCCATCGGCGACGCCTTCCGCAACCGGCTGCGCATGTTCCCCTCGCTCATCAACTGCTGCACCATCGACTGGTACGGCCCGCTGCCCCTGTCGGAGGGCTCTGAGTGCGCGCACGAGCGTGGGCGTGGCGCGGCGCCGTGTGTGTGTGTGTGTGTGTGTGTGTGTGTGTGTGTGTGTGTGTGTGTGTGTGTGTATGTGTGTGTGTGTGTGTGTGTGTGTGTGTGTGTGTGTGTGTGTGTGTGTGTGTGTGTGTGTGTGTGTGTGTGTGTGTGTGTGTTGCGTGCGTGCGTGCGTGCGTGCGTGCGTACGTGCGCAGGTTTGTGTGCGCGTGTGCATGCATGCGTGGCTACGTGCGTGCGTGTGTGCATGCGTACGTACGTGCGCGCTTGTGTGTGTGTGTGTGTGCTGTCGTTGACTCCTTCGACAGGTGCGTGTTACGGGTTCGGTCGTTTGCGTCGTGTTGTGACTGGAACACGTCGTATGCAGCTGTCTACTCGTGCCGAGCCGCGGCCTGCTTTGTGCCATGTTGCGCATTATATCCGTGCCTGTGCTTTGTGTCTGTTGGCCTGGCGTCTTCATCATACCAGTATTTCCTCACCCTGTTTTAGTGTTCGCTCTATCGTTCCCTTGCCTGAGCCAGTGCCGCCTGTGTGGCAGGTTGGGATGTCGGTCTGTGCCGTGCTGTGCTGTGCTGTGCTGTGCTGTGCTGTGCCCCGGCCGCGGCGCGTGCTCCAGCTGACCGGGGACAGATGTGTGCCAGGTTCACAGCCTGGCCCGAGGACGCCCTGGAGCGGGTGGCACACCACTTCCTCCGCGACGTGCCGGACATGGACGAGGACCTGCGGCTGGGCTGCGTCTTTGTCTGCCAGCACTTCCACGAGAGCGTGCGAGTCATGTCTCAGAGGTGAGCGGCGCTTCTGGTGCTTGCTTTATTTATTTGTTTGTGTTGAAGCAGCGTGACCTTGGCCAGCAGGCATGTGCACACGCCATCCTGGTTGTTAATGTGCCGTCGTAGAATACAAATAGGCGCGAATCATGCATGGAGTGGCCGGAGCGATGTTGGGTGTGGTTAGGTGGGCTGGATAACTAACGGATATGATGTCCCACCGGCTAGTCGTGCTCCTCATGGGTGCATGCGGTCAGGAGAGCTTCCGCCCTCTGGTGGCCGCTGTCATGGGTAAGTTTCGCTCAGCGGGTACCATGCGGTGGCTGTGTGTCACCATGCGGTGAGACTTGAATGGTGGCCGCGCGGCGGTCCCGTCCGTGGCCACCTTGCCACCGGCGACTCCCGCTCAGGTGGAACCGGTGGACATTTTGGCTCAGACCGCGGCGCGTGCAACGGCAGGTTCTTGGGTGTGCGACACCTGCTAGCCATGCCCCGCCCCCCTCCCCTACCCCTTGCACAGTCGCTGCCATGGGTCGCGACGCGCGTGGCTGTATGACTCACTTTCGCGGCGACATAATCGAACGCCTCGCCAGATACCTGGCGGAGCTGAACCGACACAACTATGTGACGCCCACCTCATACCTGGAGCTGATCCTGGCGTTCAAGGCGCTGCTGCAGCGCAAGCGGGACGACATCCTGACGCTGCGGCAGCGCTACGTCACCGGCCTGGAGAAGCTGGAGTTCGCCGCCTCGCAGGTGCGGGTCGGTCAGCGGCTGACCTGGGCGGACCTGGGTTGGATATCGAGCGGGCGGGGGAAGGGGGGGGGGGGGGATTGGACGTGGTCATGTGATGTGGCGGCGAAGGGCATATTAAACTGCTGTCAGTCTTTGGGCGTAGGCTCTGAAAAGGCTGAGATGGCGAATATGGCTCTTAGGTTTCTTTCATGAAACGCTGCAGCATTAACCTGCAGGATTCATCAGAGTTGATGCATGATGTGAAGACTCGTTTTTTAAGCTGATCAAAGCTAGCTTGCGAAAAGCTTGTCCATATTAAACGGGGAATTGGGCAACCTTGTATTTTACTCACTTGAAAACCCCGCTTTTAGAGTTGCTTCACACGTAGAAGAGTCCCAAGAAGGTTCCGATGTTGAGGAAAAACCAGCCCCCTAAGACGGTCGGAAAACCTTCAGATTATCGATAAGTAGCGTGAACCGGTTTGAGCGCCTAGAAGCAGCTGACAGAAGTTCGATACAATCTAACTATCTTCTAACCACCAAAATCTGCATCGCTTAATCTCGCTGCCGCACCGGGACCTCCTAACCGACGCATTTTTTTTTAGTTTTAGCCGAAGCCAGTGGTCGCCTGGCTTCGTCGCGATCCCCCGGATTTTTACCTTGGCCTTTACTATCAGGCTGTGGGTAGTAACCTTGGCTGGCTGACAGAACCGCTATCGTGCAGGGGAGGCGGCACGTCCGCCTGGCGTCTGTCTGGCTCCGGCTGTTATCTCGGAGCAGCTGAACACGCCCGGGGCCTGGGGTCAGCTGTGCCGTCCCCTGGCTTTCTCAGAGGGGTAGGGTGGGCTCTTCAGGAACGGGGAGCCTTGCGGTGCCTCTTTTTGTCCTCAGGGGCAAACGGGGTCCCCCATGGAAGATTCTCCTTCTGTTCTTTCCCCCACACACAGCGGCATAGCATGCAGATGACATGGTGATTTTGTCCGTTGGCCTGTTCTGTCCATCTTTTTGTAGAAGCTGACACCCATCGTCTGGTGCTACGGAAAATGAAACAGCTACTGTGATTAGTTCGTTACATTGGACACTTCGTGGCGGCACGTCCGGACGAAAACATGTTGTTTAGCGTCCGGCTTCGTAAACAGGAATGAAGCTTAACGTTCAGTTCGGCAATAATCCCAGAAAATACAACAGTTCACGTGCTGTATTTTCCTTAACAAATGTCGCTACAAGCAGCACAATGTTGTGGAAAACCGGCTTTGAAATAATTGAGGGAATGTCCTTGATAGCGGGCTGGTTTTTACGCCTGAGCTTGTTTTGATTGTGTGGTTCGATTGACACAGACATGTCCATCTGTATTCAGCCAAATGCGATCTGTTCGGCACACAATGACCATGTCGTAACACTGGCGCGCATGACTCCGCAGTCCCGTCTGTGGAAAAGGCCCGAGACCAAAATATCCCGGCAGCTTATCACGTCATTTACCCGTTGACCCGGTGCGAGTGAGCTTGGGTTCAGGTGGGTTCAGGATGGTGGGTTCAGGGCGCGCGTGACAGACTGCGAAGTAAGCAGCTAGAACCCAAAACCACCCATGCAACTCAGTTGAAACAAATCTGCAGAACGCCAACTGGATACCGGGTAACGTTTTTGTGATCAGCCCTGGTATAATCTCATAAATATAGGTGCTCCGAAGCTACTCTGTGAGCAGCAAATTACTGGACGGACTAGCTCGCTCGCCTGCCTGCAGTTCAGAGGCATCCGCGCCTTTAAAACGCGACACTTTTTCCGTCCGCAATGCATGTATCCTTGCGTGAAAACTATTTTTGGGTGATTGGTGGCCATCTGTGTGCACCCCAGGCCGTGTACATACGGCGGAGTTTTGCGGCCCGCGGAGGCGGAGTTAAGCTCCGCCGGCGTGGCCCGCGTGCCAGTGACCCCTGCAGCGGATGCTCACGTGCCGGGGGCCCGCGCACCCGCTGCTGGCGTGGCGTCAGCGTGGTCGCTGGCCGCGTGCCTTGTTTGGTTCGGTGCGAGGCTGGGGCCGGCGCGCCGTCTGCCGCTATCGATGGTGAGGTGTGCAGACTGTTGACTGTAGATTGTCGAAGACCTGAAACTGTGGACTGTTGACTGTACTCGGACGGCCCGGTGGACGTCTGCACCTCGCAGGCAGAGTGGAGGAGAGGGGGGGGGGGGGCGGTTGGGGTGTTTCACCTTAGCTGGCGTACCACTCGGTGCCGCGGCTGTCTCGTGGTTCGGAGGGCGGTGCGGTTAGCTTTCGGTCCGCGATGCGGTACAGCCTCTGCGGCCGAGAGCGAGAGCTAGATCAAGTTGTTCGCCTTCGTACGTGCTGAAAAATGTGTAGGTTCGGCAGCCGTAGCGACGCGCGCTGGCGTGGGCTAGGGTGAGCACTCCTCGAGTTTGGGCAAACAACGCTCTGTTTTTTATTCATCGGCTCACAGCACGGATAAGCAGCGCTGCACATGTGGCGGATGTGTCGTATACGATATGTAACGAGGGTGTGCGGATTTTCAAAACAGCAGGGAATTCATGGCTTCCGCTGCTTTGTTTGCGATTGTACGGACTGCCTATAGTTGACCACAATGGCAGAACTACTTAATGGTTCTTGAAATCCACCAGCATATGCATTGTCAGCAAAGGAACGCCGTCGCTCGGGGAGACCGGATGTACCCAGCGGGGTGTTGCCCGTCAAGTTGTTATCACTGTCTGTCGTGATGAGGAGGTTTCAACCACTTTGAAAATAAGTCAAGAGGGATAGCATGCCTAATGCGGCTGTTGTTGTTCTTTGGCAATAGTTCGTACTGAAAGATGATTGCGATCACATAATGCCATTTTTAACAGACCTTGTAGCTTCATCTTCATTCATCTTTAAATCTTTAACATTTTACGATGCCGTGAACTTTTTGACATTGTCGGCCGCCCTCTGTTCTGTTGAGCATGCGTCGTACAATAGTGTACGACGCATGTACAATAGTGTACGACACACTCGCGTCTCGCCTTCATGGGCGAGACGTAGACACCCCCGTTGTAAACCGTGTGCAGTAGTTCCGCGGGCAGACACGAGGCCGCGACACACATCTCCGTGTAACGCTGTGTGACGCATCTGCGTGTAACGTCACACACCGCTGCGGAAGCGTAGCGTGCTAATACCACACGTAGGTTCCATTGCGTCCAACCACTCTTAGTTAATAAGTGTAGGTACGGGTAGTCGGCGTCCAGTCGCAGCAGCGGCTCCTGACTCACACACTGCAGAGTCGGTCTCCTGTTGGTCCCTCTGCCGCCGCAGCTCGCTACAGTCGGCGTTCAGTGGCAAGAGCGTCCCGTGACTCCTGCTGGCCCCTCGTCCGCCGCGGCTCGCTACAGTCGGCGTTCAGTGGCAGGAGCGTCCCTTGACTCCTGCTGGCCCCTCTGCCACCGCGGCTCGCGACAGTCGGCGTTCAGTGGCAGGAGCGTCCCGTGACTCCTGCTGGCCCCTCTGCCACCGCGGCTCGCTACAGTCGGCGTTCAGTGGCAAGAGCGTCCCCTGACTCCCGCTGGCCCCTCTGCCGCCGCAGCTCGCTGCAGTCGGCGTTCAGCGGCAAGAGCGTCCCTTGACTCCTGCTGGCCCCTCTGCCGCCGCGGCTCCCGACAGTCGGCGTTCAGTGGCAGGAGCGTCCCGTGACTCCTGCTGGCCCCTCTGCCACCGCGGCTCGCTACAGTCGGCATTCAGTGACAGGAGCGTCCCTTGACTCCTTCTGGCCCCTCTGGCGCCGCGGCTCCCGACAGTCGGCGTTCAGTCCCAGCAGCGGCTCCTGACTCACACACTGCAGAGTCGGTCGGCCTCCCGCTCGCTCCTCTGCCGCCGCGGCTCGCCGTGGGCCGTCCGGCGCGCCGTGAGGACGCGCGACCGCCGAGCGGGAGCGGGATTGCCGACCGTGAGCACGTGACTCTCGGCGGCCGTCACGAGCTCCGACTCGCCGTCGTGTGTGACGAGTCTCGTGACGCGTGAGGCTGCGCTTCGGCGGGGCTGGCGTCACTGCGCTCTCGTCACTGGTGGCGTTGTCTGGTCCTGACTCAGTTTCCTGTCCGTGGCTGTGTCTCAGTGTTCCCAAACAAACATTTCCTGTTAAAACTCCTTGTTTTTTCTTTTCTTCAGAATCCATAAATGTGTCATCGTCTGCTTTACGCGGACCATCTTGGACCATCTCATAGAGCACGACGTAAACTACATTCTGTGGAAGCTATCAAGAGATAATAAAGGTGTGATATGTCATGCCAGCTGACCAGGGGTGATGCTGAATATATTACGGCCACTTACTGATAGCATGCAGCGGACAACGAAAAGGAAAATACAAATATATTGACCACCAGTTGGGCTTAATTTGCGTGACACTGCTTTAAAAACGTAATCCTTCATCGACTGAACTTTTGTGGTGCCGTCCAGTTCAGCCGACGCGTTTAAGCCACCGATCGTCCCTAATCTCCATGTTTCCCAACTCGGGATTCGGTACGGTCCCTAGTCCCCGACGTTAATTCCGCCCAACCCGCTGGAGCATGAAGAACGGGATGCCTGCACACCACCGCGTGTGACCGCCCGCCCCGTCGCGTCAGCCGCGGAGGTCCGCGGGTTTCCGCGGCGGGTGCGGCCGTATTTCCTGTGACTCAACGTGATGTTCTCCGATTCCCGGCCGCGGGCCGTGCTTTCCTCGAGCAGGCTGAGGATTCCGCGAGCGTCCTTATCCTGCGGTGGTCGGCTGTGATCGCTGGTCACCGCGCGGCGGGCTGATGACGCCAGCGTGGCGGACGGCACCGGGGTGCGGCTGCGGGTCGGCCGCCCTTGACAACGCCTGAAAATTGTGGCGGGTTGGTGCACCGAGGAGTGGCTGAGGTGAAGACAAGCACGGCGATAGATGCTGCTGATGCGGGTGTGATATGTGTTGCAAGCAGCCATGCACCTGCCAGTTACTGTTATTTCCATATTCGACGCATCCCGTCGTCATTTCGTACATGTGATGATTACTGTTTTTCACGGCCTTCTTCAAGTCTTTTTTTAGGGGGTCTCGTTTAAGGCTTCAGCACATAAAGACTGGACTGGTACACTGCCTCTTCGCCGCATTTCTCTGTTCCCGATGTCTTTTAGCTGATGACGATTCGAGGGAACGTCGTTTTGTCTTGCAATGAATGCTGGAGTAAAAATATTTCGTAAAACATTTGGTTAAAGCTTTTCAAACCACGGAGCATCATGGGTATGCTGCGCATTAGGCAGGCCAGAGGTACGGGGTTCGATTCCCCGGGACGCCCGCCCTTCATGCCAGGGGGGGGGGGGGGGGCAGGCGACGCCATATGGCCTCAATAGCGGAATGCGTCGTAAAATCCCAATGGCGACGCAGCGCCATTGCATGCCGTTCCCACATTGTCGTCGCGGAGTTAGGATCAGCTTCCAGTACGCCAGCTTTGTAAGGGCCTTATAGCTACAATGTTTTTGTTGTGATTGGAAATGGTGTGGGGGTTATCTAGGCCGTGCACGTCGATCGGCCCGGGTGGTTTTAGTCGGCTTTGTGTCTGCAATAGTGCTATTTGCTTATTTCCAAGCTGGCAGATTCGCTTCTACCATCCTGCCACCGGTATGGTCGGGGAATATTCGAGGTTTTTACGGCGTTCATTGTCATGTGGGTCCTGTGGGCGCAATGGCAAGGCCCGTAAAGCGGGGTAGGAGTCGTACGCTCGGTATCCCACCCTCGGTAGTAGAAGGGAGCTCGTGATCCCGCCCCATTTGTCGAGCGCGCTTCCCCCATCTGGATGCCACCTCGAGACTGTCGAGCCCTGCCGGCCGGTTTCTCACGCTCAAGTGCACATTATGACCGCCAGGTGTCAGTGATGCAGGACGAGCTGACAAGCCTGCAGCCCCAGCTGATCGAGACGTCGGCGCAGACAGAAAAGCTCATGATCAAAATTGAGCAAGACACCATGGAAGTGGAGGCCAAGAAGGAGGTAAGTTTCACGGACGGTCTGGAAGCCCCGTTTGTGGCTGACTGCATGCGACATTCAGTGCCAGTGAGTTCACCATCGATTGGTTTCTGTCTTTTTGTTGTTCATTGGAGTTTTCGGGCGCGTCGACTGCAGTGGTCATTTTGCGCCCATAACTATGCTGTTACTTAATTAGTACGGTGTGAAAATGACCTGAAAATCAATATCTTTTAAAAACGAAAAGAGCTGTTTGGGATCAAGAAAGGAGGAACTGTCACCAAGCACATCGTTAATCGTCAGGGTCGAAGCCTGTGAACCAAAGTGACGTCGTCGTTCTTCGAAGAGGCATGGACATGATATAATGACATGATGGACAGTCAGGACGGCACCACACCGCTGGCATAGGGGTCTGTCGGCTCCATGCAACAGATGGCTATGGGTGGCATAAGCATGCCCAATGCGCAGCCTGCATAAAACCACCTCTTCCCACCGCACACTGCGAGAGCATGACGACCACAAGCCCAACTCTGTCTTTATTGCCCTGAGCTTATTGCCCCCCGCCTGGTCCCAACAGCGCTGCAATCTGCTTCTCAGGAAGGTCCTGACTGCCGGGTAAAAATCTCTGGCAGGGATAGGCAAAAACCGGGTATATGGTGCTACCGCTGCTCGCTTAGCAGCGGCGTCAGCCAGTTCGTTGCCCACGATACCGACGTGACTAGGGATCCAGCACAGCGCAACTCTCTTTCCAACCCGATTCAATTGTGTCAGGCGGGATAAAATGTCCTGTAAAAGGGGACATGATGGATAAAAAGACTTCAGTGCAGAGAGACTGCTCAGTGAATCTGTAAAAATGGCGTGTGAAGATTCTTCACCCACTTCTATGAAACATATCGCCTTGGTGATTGCAACTAATTCCGCCGTAAAAGCTGACGAGTGGGCCGGTAACGAGAACGATCGAGTGACGGACCCGCTAACGAAAGCACAACCCACGCCATCCGAGGTTTTGGATCCGTCTGTGTATGTCAGGGTATATCCTTCGTAACACGCCAAAAGCTCAACTGCCCTGGATCTCAATAGGTGTGGTGTGACGTCTTTTTTCCTAATTTCCGTAAGCGAGGTGTCAATGAAGGGTGTGGTCATTTGCCAAGGAGGAGAAGCCAGGCGGCTTACTTGCCTTACACCCCGAACAGGAATTCCGCTCTCAAGCAGTAACGCTCTCATTCGGGAACCAAAAGTTAAAGCGTGCTGCTGCGGCCCATGACGAAGAGAACTTACCGCAAACCGCGAAAATATTGCAGAATATGCCGGGTGAAGTGGGAACTGCCGCAGCTTCAAGGCATAACGCATGCCAAGCATTTTCCTCCTCGTCGAAAGTGGTGGTTCATGTGCCTCCGTTAAAAGGCTGACGGAAGGTGATGTGCGAAACGCCCCAGGAGCAATGCGAATGGCAGTATGGTGGACGGTATCAAGAACACGCTTGCTGGATTCAGACGCGCCATCATAAACAAAGCATGCGTAATCCAGTTTGGAGCGGACGAGGGAACGATATAAAAGCATAAGCGTGCTTCTGTCTGCCCCATAAGATGTACGAGACACACACTTTAGTATGTTGAGAGATTTAAAGCATCGGTCGCGTAATATTTTAAGACGTGCGTTATATGTAAGGCGACGGTCAAAGTGTATCCCAAGATACCTGGCCACGGCCTTATTTGGAATAGGGCGACCATATAGACGGATGCTCAGATCATCACATCGCTGACGACGACAAAAATGCATCGCAACGGTCTTGTCGCCTGAAAAACGAAACCCGTTCATGTCACCCCATCTTTCAACGCGGTCCACAGCCAGCTGGAGACGCCGCTCCATCGCTGGTGCTCTCGCTGCACTGGTCCAAATAGTAAAATCGTCAACAAAAAGGGCACGTCCGACCGACTGTGGGAGCACATCACAAATATCATGTATCATAACTGCGAACAGTGCTACACTTAACACGCCGCCCTGGGGCACGCCGTTTATTTGTTCGTACCTATCGGAGAGGACGTTGCCGACCCGAACACGAAAGTATCGTTTGGCTAAAAACCTTTGGAGAAAAGCACCCATATGGCCACGCATACCATATTTAAAAAGCTTTTGAACAATACCATGGCGCCATGTGGTGTCATAGGCGGCTTCAATGTCGAAGAATACTGTCCCCATATGCGCTTTTTCTTGAAAAGACTTGCGAACCGTGGTGTCCAGTGTTAAGAGATGGTCCGCCGTACTACGGTTTTTCCTAAATCCGCACTGCGAGTTACTAAAAATATCGTTGTTCTCTAAAAACCAAGTGAGTCGCACGTTTACCATCTTTTCCATGAGCTTTGACAGTGATGACGTCAGTGAAATGGGTCGGTAATGAAGAGGGTCCAGCCCACTCTTTCCCTGTTTTAGGATAGGCACCACAACAGCTTCCCGCCAGTCCGGAGGGAACTCACCTCTTGACCACACCCTATTGAAGGCCGCCAATAGTGCACAACGTGCGCACGGAGGCAGATGTCGGAGCATCTCATTGTGGATGTCATCAGGACCTTCCGATACACTACGAACTTTTCCGATTGCCGACTCCAACTCCACCAAAGTGAAGGGCTCATTGTACGCCTGTGGTTGCCTTGTAGAAAAGTTCACTACGGTTTTTTCGGGTTGTGCTCTTTGCCGTAGAAAATGTGGGCTCCTGTCTGCACCTTCGCTACGGTGGGAGAGTGCTCGGGCGATGCCGTTAGCCACATCCAACGGATGAGTCACCACCTGGCCGTTAACATGTAACACAGGAAGTGGCACGGATGAAAACTGCCCAGAGATTTGTTTGATCCGAGCCCAAATCTGCGAAGTTGGTGTGAATCAGTTGAGCGTGCATATATACATACGCCAGGATTCACGTTTCGCTTCTTTTATCGTGCGGGGGGCGAAAGCCCTGGCTTTCTTAAAGGCTACTAAATTCTCCAAGCTACTTCTGGCGTCAAAAGCTCGGAAAGCACGTTTGCGTGCGCGAATTGCATCACGACACTTCTCCGTCCACCACGGCACAGGAGTGCGACGAGGAAATCCAGAAGTACGCGTGATGTAATCGCTAGCGCAATCTAGAAGTCTGTGAGTAAAATCCTCAATAGAGAGTGCCACCCTCACACCTCCGGTCTGACATAATGTCCCCAGTCGAGCCTCAAACTCACTCCAGTCAGCCTTTTTTAAATTCCAACGTCGTGGTCTTACACCCAACGTTCCTCTTATTTGGAATCGAAGCCACACTGGGAAGTGATCGCTGCCCATTGGATCATCTGCCACAGACCACTCGAGGCTCTCCACCAGCTCGGGACTAGAAAGACTCAGGTCAAGCGCGGAAGTCTGACCAGACGGCAGTGTAAAATGAGTACGAGTCCCTGTGTTTAAAATACACAGTGACGAGTCACGGATAAAATGTTCGCACATCCTTTCGCGGGTGTTCGTGCTATCACAGCTCCACGCGGTGTGATGAGCGTTGAAGTCGCCTAAAAGAAGACATGGTGAAGGCAACTCATGCACTAAACGTCTCATGTCTTCCAATGGAAAACCGACGCCAGGTGGAAGATATAAAGAACACACCGTGATGTGACGGTGATTAAAATGTAGGCGTGCGGCTACAGCCTGTAGCGTAGACCGCAGGTTAAACCTCCTGGCTGGCACGCTGTGGTGGACTGCAAGAAGGACACCGCCATGTGCGATACCGTCGGTTAACACATCATTGCGAAACAGGGCGTATCCCTTCAGCGCGCAGTGGTGACTAGAAGCAAGCTTGGTCTCCTGCAGCGCTACGGCTGCAGGACAGTGCTTGCTGACGACAGCCTGGAGGTCGAGGGCATTCGCCCTTATTCCTCTACAGTTCCACTGTAAAAAGGCCTGTAAAGGGGGCGTGTTAAAAAGCCGGTTGGAGGTCACATACTAAAACCGGACACGTCCTAAAAGAACTGGGCTGCGCCAGTTGCAGAGGCAGACTTTTCTGACTGAGAGCCACGGTTGGAATCTGCAGGGAGGTGCCCCACTCTGGGACGAGTTCTGGGGCTCCCGCCGTCAGATGGAGACGGGGGACCGGCCGGGGCACGCTTGACGCCAGCGTACCCGGTCCGGGGTGGCGGCGGGGGAGGGCCCATCGGCGGGCCTCTACCGGGCGTCTGGGGGTCAGCGGGGGCCTCCACTGGCCTTCTCGGCGATGGTGTGCCACTGCGAGGGGTGGGCTCCTTGCTTGCAACGGACAAGCGATTGGCCGTCTTAGCCCTCTCCAACTCCGCTAGGCGAGCCCGCTTGGCGTCGCGGGCGCGCCTGTCCGCCTCATGCCAGTTCCATCGTTTCCGCTGCTCGTCCACACACACTCGCCAGCGTCGCCGGAGGCGACGAGGGCAGCGGAGTGACAGACGGCGAGGAAGGCCGAGCCCGCGGACCATGGCCGCGCTTGACCACCGTCCATCCCTCCTCCTCCCCCGCCTGCGACCCCGACGACACATGAAGGTCCGGCGGCACAGCGTTGGTAGAGCAGGACGCAAATGAAGGATCAGGAGGATCCGACTGGGCGGGGGTCGCCCGCCCCGCCGGCACCACAGACAAACCGAAGGATCGCAGGAGCGTGATGAGTTGGACCGCTGACATGTGACTGATGCTGGTGGACTGTGGTACAGAGGTTTTGGATTTTTCGGCATAGGATACCTTGGGGTGATTAGCCTCATACTGTTCACGCGCCTCACGGAAAGAAATGTTCTTTGAAGTTTTGAGTGATATAATTTCCTTTTCCTTCATGAAGGCTGGACAACGTCGGTCGAAAGTTGTGTGCGGTACCTGCCCTGTGCCACAGTTGACGCACCAAGGCTGCACAGAGGTACACTGGTCTCCCGCATGCTCGGAAGATGCACACTTCCCACAGACAGCTCGACTGCGGCAGCGTGGTTTTGTATGACCAAAGCGCTGGCATTGAAAACATCGCATCGGATTCGGAACGAAGACCCTGACTTTGACAACTGCGTAGC